CATTGTTATTTTTCTAAGTAGAACTTAACATGCACGACAAAATTTTCTTCGCATTAATTTCAACAAGCGTGAACTGTAAATTCACCGCAATTACATTACATATATTTTTGTCACCGACATTTATTTATTTTTCATGTGAATTCGGTATATGTTTTAGTTGTGTTGGTGACTTCTTACAATATTTCTACTTATATATAGATAAAAATACCAAATAGGTATAAAATTTCTTTTCGTACACTTGGAGGCATACGTCATCTGCAAATATTTTGGTAGTTTCTACCTAAACTTAGTTAAATCAACGTCGAATTAACGTTATACTGACGTCAAATTTCCCTAGAGAGGTATTACTAACCAAACGTATTGGGTTACTACAATGTGGATTTAAATGTAATTCTACCTATTTTGGTAAATAAAACCAAATTTCGACGTCGTCTTATTCTCCACTTATGTCGAATCCACGTCGAGCCAACGTAAATTTTACTTAATTATGGTTAAATCTAATTTTGCGACCAAATTTATTATATATAATTTAGGTAGTATCGACGTCAAATTACACCAAAATGTTTGCTGGGCGGTAGCTGTAGAGATACCGACCTGTATCTTATAGCGTCTTCGATTTCACTGCCCTGCCTGCGTGGAGTGCACATAAAAGATGAGCGATATATCGATACCGGTTACATTTCAGATTGAAAAGTAACTGGTATTGACATATCTCCCACCTTTCGTATGCACTCAGTGCAAGCCGTGCACTAGATTCGAAGACGCTATTATTAGAAACTATGTGTCGTAGAATTTTGAGGAAAATGTGGTTAAGAGAAATCGATAAATATTTTCAATCAGCAAAGAAAACTTTTAATTTTATTTAAAAAATGCAAAGCTATAAGCCATCTTCACTGCTTATTGTCAGTCAAAAAGACATCCAATAATATCGGTCACTATCTCGTGTATCCAAACATTAAATGCGGAGGATCCCACCTTGCTAAATCACCATTATTATTTTGTTTAAAATTATTTTTGGTTTATTTGTTGTAAATTAAAGTTTTTCATGCACTTTATTAAGCCATTTTTAATTAAAAAAAAAATCCTAATTTAGAATGGCTGAAATAAAAATGGGCGACAAACTGTAATTTATAACAAACCAAAAATAATTTAAATAAAAATGATAATTCCGAAAGCGCTTTGCTTTTTTTAAATAAATGAATTTTTGCACGAAATACAATTGTTCTTTGCTGATCTGAGCTACATGCACTCAGCTATTATATCATAAACTTGGCAGCAATTTCAGTAAGAATATTGCATTTCTGCCCAGGACGTTCATAATGTGAGCTCATATTGGCTTTAGAAATGTTGACAAATTTCACCCTCCTGTCGATCTTTCAAAATATGTTCCATTAAAATCCAATTCTAGCAATAGTACTATGTATTTATTCAAGACGCTAATTTAAAAAAAAAACTTTAATAACTTTTACAACCAGGTGGACTGGACGTAAGTCAATAAAACATCGAAGACAGAGTTGAAAAATTTAATGACAGTTTGTTTCAAGGCATCAATCAATTTGTCCCAAAAAAGACTATAAAAAAAACATTAAATATACAAAATGGTTTGACAGTGAACTTCGAAAATGTATTGCCTCCAAAAATAGACTATATAAAAAATACAAGCACTCTGGTCTGAGTAGTGACTACCAGTTATATTCTAATTCACGGCGCGAAGTATAGTACCGTACTGATTTTTGTTATCTTTCTAACATGGAACACTTTATTCCTAATAATATCGAGCACTTCTGGTCATATATAAAAACTCATAAAGACTCATCAAACATTCCAAAATAAATGAAATAGTCCTGTTACATTAAACACAATGATGTTACCTCTTCTAACCTTATTACCGATTTCTCTAGTAATCTTTCTCTCGCGTTTTCACTGAAGAAGAGATCAACACTCACTTGCTTCAGTTAGATGTCTAAAGGCCCTGGTCTGGATGGAATTCCTCCCATTTTCTTAAAAAATTATCAATTCTTGCTTTCTACTTCTCTTTATCAATTATTCCAAGAATGTTTTGATGCTGGTTTCATTCTAACTTAGTGCCATGTAGCAGTCTATCTCTCTCCCACAACGTGACGTCACCTTGGATTCAGAATTTTAAATCTTTAATGTAAAATTCGTATGGAGAAGTACAATTTCGGTCACGATAATTTTATTTAAGTTTTTAATAGATAGTTTCATATCTGCGGTAATAAAGAATAATAATTGCTATTTGCAAATACAATTTGTGTGTGTTTATTTAATGTTTATACCTATCAGACATGTGCTAAAGGCGGATCGCGGGAAGAATATTCTGGGATAGCTCGACAAAAATCTAATTTTTAAGTTAAATTATATTTAAAAAGGATCTATAAAATATATAATTTTCATTGTTTAATAGAAAAAAAAATACATTTCATTGTAATCAAATAAATTGTTTTTTAAGTTAACTGGTGATATTATTTATAACTATTATGTAAAAAAAACCATTTTCGTGGAAAAAAATTTGCAACATGTTTTATAAATATCGGAACTACTATGGTAAGAAAAATACAACAGATTTAGAGTTTTTATTTGGAACAATATTGTTGGTTATACAGGGTGATTTACAAAACTTGTGGTTTCTAAAATAATACCTAATTATTTCTTATTTGTGAATTTGGATAGCTTTTTTTCCAGTTTTCGTTTACAGTTGTTGAAACTTATCTTCCTGTTAATATCCCTTAATCTAATATACGTTCGTGTTCTACTTAAACACAAAATTACTTCAAATTGCACGGGTGTCTTTTGCAACTGAGCTGCAGTTCTTTGAGCTAACTTATTGAATATATCTTTCTCTTTGCTTAAAGACTGCCCGTGCATTTTGTAAAATTCGCCTTCTAGAACTTGCGCAACTTGCGTTTGGCATTATGTGAGAGCTGATATGGAAAGTAGATTTATAATCGCACAAGGGTGGAAACTGAAAAGTAGATTCCTATTCATACGCGTGTGATGATAATAAGGGCACTTTCCATAAAAAGTGTGATATGTGTCCCTTTCCCTAAGTGGTCGTAAATAGGAGCTTGTCTTAAAACACCTACCTATCTCATTTATCATTTTTTAAATTAACGGTATCTAATAAGGTTCTTACTTACCATTTTTTAAATTAATTTTATCTTCCCGCCGACAAGCTTGTATCCACTGCTTCGCCAAATCTTCATTTTTTGGAAATCCAAAGTATTTTATGCCCGTTCCTTGTTTTTCTGTTATTATTTTTTCATTTCGCCACTGCACAGCTCGGCATTTTTCTTAAAATGTATGTTACTTTTAAATTGATATATTTACAAATTAAACGTACGTTGTAATAGTTAACACATAAACAACAAACACAAAGACTCACTACCCGATATTATACAAAAATCGAACAAAATTCTAACAATAACCATTTAAATTTAAATGTGACATTTATGTTTTGAATCCATAGTGACGTCATGCGCAGAGACGGTCGAATTTGAGTTTACAAATCAGCATACCGTTGTTTGTGTATCGTGTCCGTATAGTAAAAGAAAATCAAAGTATGTGGGTTTTTGCAAAACACGCCTCAATTGTCATATTAAAAAATTAGAAAGAGTGCAAAATAAATTTTCGAAGTATCTACTATATAAACATATAGGCTTCCATCGCAAAATATAGATTACCAAACCAGAATTCTGTTGTGCGGACTTAAGAGTTTGGAATGTAGACGTCGAAAAGCATCGATTTTTTTCCTGTATAAGTTATTGAATTTGATTGATAGTGACAGCCTGGTACATTTTATTAAATTCCTTGTTTCTGTCAAACTTACTAGGCAGATTAAACTATTTTAGAACTCATAGAACTAACTATGGACAAAATTTATTTGTAGACCGACCAGTTACAATAAGTATTTTTCAAATTATGACATTTTTAATACAGGTTTTTCTTTAAAGCGTCAACTTTCAATACACTATTAACTACATTTTTATTTTTTTTATTGTAAATGTATCTTTTAGAACTTTATGTATCTGTAGCGTACTGTAAACAAAAATAAATAAAATTTTGTAAACAAATCCTATTTTCGTTAACAGTGTCACCCACAGAACGTTTTTCAATACGCTTTGCACAATTCCAGGTAAAAAATACAGAGCGTTAGCATTAGTGCGAGCAGGAAACGAATATCAGCGTTGCTAGTATATACACTATTATTCCTTTCCTGCTCGCCCTAATTCTAACTCTGTAGTTTTCACATGTATTTTTGCAAAACGTAGTGGAAAGCGATTGATAGCCGATACTATATATCTGTGGCTATCACTGACAAAGACAGTATGTATGACGCCATCTATAACAGAACGTTATTGTTAACAAGAGAAATGTCATAGGTCGACGTAAAACAGTATTTTTAGGGTCCGTGTGAACTCACCGATTGTTTCTCTCGGTTTATTTAGAGATAATTAAAATTCTCCTAAGAATTTTAATCCTTGAGAGAAATGAGTGCTCCCATACTTTGAAAATGAAAATAGCCCCCCAGATGTCGCGGTTATTTGTCAGGCGGTTTTATTAGTTTATTTTATATGGGGAATACCCGGAATAGCACACGCGAAAAAAATTCAAAACTAGTTATTGGATAATTAATTTGTCTCAATAATAAAAAAAGCCGACAATATTGCCTTTAAAAATATGAGAATAATTCCCTCAAATTTTTTTCTAAATTACGCAATGACAGACGAAAAGATACGAATCATACCCATGATAAGGCACAGTTTTGAATTAAATCCAAACTGATACTTAAAAAAAGAATTGTAAGCTCAGATATACGTGAATTTTTCGATGGCTTACTTTATCAACATTTTTTTATGGATTATTGTATATATTACATAATAGATAAAGAAGAGGTGGTTTGTTGACACTGTCCTTGCCTGCATCTTTCGTCAAATAAAACACTGGTATTTAAAACGTTTTAATACTAATAAACACCAATAAATAAGAGAAAAATATTAACAAAAGGATTGACGTTTCGTTATTCTTACACAATATTTTCATTATTATAATAAGGAAATAGAATCTTTATACTTTTTTTTAAACACCTATAGTTTGTACAGTAGAAAAAGTTTTAAAGCATAATAAGACTTATGCAGGAAACTTTACAAGCTGAAAAATAATTTAAAAAAAAATTAAGAATGTTTTAACATCATAAAGTTTGAACGAATTTTCTGCATACGCCTTTAAAAATTAATAGTAATCAATTTTATCGATTCACATTGTCTTGGTCCTGATTATTTTCATCTGCTGGTCTAGCATCTTCTTGGTTTTGATTTGCGTTCTGATTTCCCCACTGGAAACCGCCAGGATTTTCTTCTGGTAATCTTTGGTAGTCAAGATCTTCAGGAGGCATGTCAAATAATGTGCGCCTAAATTAAAAAAAGAAAAAGTTTCGCAATTTGAAATTAAATTATAAAACACACAAAAAAAAAATGTGTATACAGGGTGGTCCAGATTTAATTATCCTACAAAGGGATTTCATTTTAGGAACTAATTTAGTGATGAGGCACATTTAAATTATCAGGAATGGTTTGAGAAGAATTTGTAAAAAAAACGAATTTTGCAGAAAATTGCAGTTTTTACAAATATCTCATATATCCAAGTTATTTCCTCCATCTCAGCTACTTTATGAAATCCCTGTACATGAAAATTGTAATACCCTGCATGTTGACTGATTTTTAATGCTTACAAGAAATTTGGTGTTTTCAAAATTTTGCAACCTCCTCTCTCATTTGGAAAAACGTCTTCTAAAAAGTAATAAATGTGTCCCACTGCGATTCCCATTAAATCTACATATACCGCATTACCCAAAAGTACAGAGAATGCTAGCAGGATCCATGGTAAATATGGAGCCTAAAAGAAAAACAAAAAACTGTCATTGAATTTTATTTAAAATAAATGTAACAAGAAGTAAATAAAGATGTAGTAAGTCTTACCTGAAAATTTAGAAGACCAAAAAAGTTTAAACCTACAAATGGATTTCTCCTTGACCATACGTACACTAACATTATAGTAAATGCTTGACCTAAGAATAATAAGTTAACAAAAAAGGCAAATCCCTAATAAACGTTAAGAAAAAATATGTATCAAAAGTTATTTTTCATAATTTAAAATAGGTGCTAGTTAAAACTTACTAAACAATTGAAAATTCTATATTAGTGACTAACTCTGCTTAATCTTTATTAACAGAACAGTAATAGGTCTCAAAGTATTTTAGGTATGTGGAAAATTGGTTATAAGTAATTGAAGAAAAGAAGAACTTGAGTCCCAGTTAAAATATTAATCCTTATATGAGAGTGTAAAAGTGTAACAAATAAAGTGTTTTAATTAATTTGCTGCTAGAATGATTATTCATAAATGCTATAAAAGGTTTTATATACCTTTTAGCATAAATTGATGACAATTCAGACATTTCATTTAAACAAATTTGAACTTGTTTTTTTGTAATTTTTGCTTTAAATAATTGTCCCATGCATGTACAATTATCTTTAGAAGAACATACTTTATTATTGTACATTTTATAGATCAATAAAGCTATTTCCAATTAAAATTTCAAAATAAATATTGGCAAGTACAAGATTTTTCCACCTACATTTTTAAAAGATAAATAGAGATAAATATAAAAAATTCACAATTTTACCAATCAACTCTTAGCAAATGGTGCATAAATTAATGTAAACATAAATATTTTATCAAATGGTTACCACTGATGAACTTCTTGATATTAATATTAGTGCAGAATGTAGTTTAATTCATAGGTTTTCTCCAATCCTTTTCAAAACCTTATTTTTTGATCATTTAGTGATTTTATTATCAATTAATATACAATGTTGCTCTAATGCAGGAATATTAATGAACACTGAGTACCTTTGATACTATCGCTAAAGTGGAACCTTAAGGAATCATCAATGAGTGTTAATTATGTAATTAGGGTAGATATAGCTATGCTATTATACGTTTGTCTTTTACAGCCTAAAATTTCTTTATTTATACTATCAGATGCTTTACTGTGAACAAGATTTTTCTTATCAATGGTCTTATCTTGTACTTAATACATTTGTTATAGCAATATTATTATTTTTATCTGTATACCTATCTTCACTGTATAGGTATATATTTTTATTTGGTAAAAAAGGATACAATCATAGACACTGCTCCAAATAAAAACATCAATACGAAATCTGCTGTTCTATTTCTAAACGATCCTTCTTCTAACATTCTGCAATACCGATATGTGAATATCATATTGAAAAAAAAGTTGAACCCAAATGTTCCGAAAAAGAGGAATGTAGTAACAAGCCTCCATACTTGGCCTTGCTTTAGAATTAAAATAGGATTAAAATAGAGCTGGAAAGGGGACGCCAATTCCAGTTGCTAAAATAAAGAATTATAATTACTTTACTATAAGTAAGATTTTTAAAGTACAAAAAATATATCCAGTTTAATAATGAATTGATATTTTTTTAGACAAAATAAACAGGTAATGTTAAAACACAATAAAAAGTTATTTGCCAACTAAAAAACTTACCACAGCTAGAGTAGTAATAACACAAGCAGTTGTATAAGCCCTCGTTACCGGGGGCATATTCATGTATTCATTTCTTAAACTTTGGAATGCCATTCTAAATATAATTTCCTATCAAGACATTATAAACTTAAAATACCTATTGCAAAAAGCATTCTATAATTTCATTTTTTTCAGCCACATCAGACTATTTACTTATCTATTTTTGACAATAAATTGGAAACTGACATTGACAAATGACACGATCATGACAATGCGGAATGACATAAATTTGTTAGTTTGTTTGAACCTCGAACAAATTAAAATGGAAAGTAAATTTAAATTAAAGTATTTTTATTGGGAAAAGGTTGATTTTGATTATTGAGAAACGACATAATTGTAATTATCAATAGTAAATATAATAAAATCACATAATAAATAATAAGGAATCGAATAGATGCGCAATACAAAAAATATAGCTATGTAGGTACACGTTTACATAGTGTGATAACAAAAGTACAATCAATAGAAAGTAATAATATGTTTCTTTAAAATGTAGCTAAAAAGTAAATAGTATGAAAATGTAACAAACATTATTACTTATAGTTTTAATTTTTAAATTCCAAAATTTTTTTTTGGAAATTGATTAGGTACCTTGCTCCACTTCTCTGCAGAGCTGGTCAGTATCCGAATACAAGTACTCGAATATTATTGTTCTCAGTACGCATTTTGGGTCCTAATCAGTCAATGGCGGCTTCCGAGAGGCGGCCACGCCCCTTTCCGAGATTAAAATTCTTAAATTCCATGAGCATTATATTATATTTAAAAAATACGCTGAAAAGAGGATGTGCTAATCGCAATGCCCTCTTTGAAAATTTGGTCTGTAGCCACCCCTGTACTCAGTACTTGGTACATTAGTACTCGTAATCGCAGCATATCGGGTAGAAGTACCCGGTATCTGCTATTATTATACGAGTACATATTTTTTAAGTACCTTTTGCAAATCTAAACAGTGCACCAAAGCAAAACACAAAACAAGTTCAGCACAGGGATTTTTATGTGCGAACTCGACACGATACACGTATCGAATAGAAGAAGACATTACATAAGAATCGCAGTCTGTCGAACGAAGATAGGCGGCGTGTCGATACGCGACGTATCGAATAGAGAAAGACATTACATACGAATCGCAGAGTCTGTCGAACGAAGATAGGCGTGTCAGTATGCGACGTATCGAAAGATAAAATAATACTGCTGATTTGCAAAAGGTATCTACTCAAAAAATATGTACCAATGAGTATCGAGAGTACTCTTGTTAATAAATATACCTATATGCTTACTAATGCAAAATTTGCGATAACCTGCTTTACTTTTTTTAAGTATAAACTAGAACTTGAAATTGTCGATAAAAATTAAAGTATTGATTTGATAGTGCATGCTTTTTTTATATAGTGCACAAAAAGTAGTGTCAATATAAAATACAACAGAATTACGCCATGTTGCTAAATAGTCTTAATAAAAGTCAATTATCATAGTCTGGAGAATACCAATAGGTATATATTTAATTAATTTTTATTTGTTTACAAATTAATTTGTACTGGCAATTTTAAACAAGAGCTAGTGTACTCGACAGAATATGCAATAGTACTCGGTACTCGTTCTTCAGGAAAGTACCGCTTACTCAAGTACACAATTTATCAGTACCAGATTCAGCTCTGCTCTTCTGTAATTAGTACTATAGTCATGATGCAAATCACAGTACCTGCACGTGCATTCATTTGGTTCGTCAATTAATGGTAGGCAGTCGTCGATGTGTAAACGTGTAATTTTCCCAGAACAAGAATCTAGTTCTGGTGTAATCAAAAAAACAACTATTGCATTTGACATTTTGCAGGATTTGCAGTTTTGTTTTGACAGATTTGACATTTCCGCGTACAAGTGATTATAAAGTATGGAGGATGTATAGTGAACTAGAAATACGTCTATTTTTATCAAATCCGTCGTAATTAAATTAATTGAAACTTTGCTGCACATTTCTTCTTCGATTAGTTTGAATAACCAGTTTTTATATCAGCATCATGATGTAGAATTACGTGAAACACCAATAAAATGGTGATAGAAATCCATAAGTGAACTCATTGTTACAAATCCAAACGTTTTATTTATTTTTGTGAAGATTTGGCTGGAATATACTGTGAAAATGGAAGTTGTAGGCGATTATGAATACAGCAGTAAAGACCTTATAGGTCATGGAGCCTTCGCTGTAGTTTTTAAGGGCCGTCTTCGAGAGGTCAGTGCACCAACCAAAAACAAACAATAAAAATAAACTAAAGCTTAATTTATTTTCAGAATACGTCTTGTACCGTTGCCATTAAAAGTATAACAAAGAAAAGTTTGGCCAAATCGCAAAATTTGCTAGGAAAGGAGATCAAAATTTTAAAGGTAGGTATTTATTTAGTGACCTATTTCAATTCTTATCTATGCAACACAAGGGGGAATTAGGCAATATTTGCATACAATTATGATAAAATTTATTTATAATTTCTATTTAATAAGCTATTTATGTGCTGAAGTTAAATTATTTAACTTGCTCTCACTACAAGTTGGTACACCAAAAAGTTTTTCATTATTTAGAGTTTTCTTTGTCAATTTGAAGTACATTATAGTTATTTAGTTAAAAATTGAAACAACAGTCTTTCTGTTATAAGTTTGTTTATTGATAAAAGCATTTTCTTATTTATTTTACTTACTAATTAAATTATGTTTACTTTTATAAAAATTGTTCAAACAATTTAAGTTACAACTAAATAAAACAGTATGAAATGGTAACAGTAAAGGATTCATAGGTATTTTTTATTGTCAATCTACTAATAATTATTAGTATAACTGGTAGGCATGGAGAATTCTGTATCAAAATCTAGGCTAGTTAATTTTGTAACATTTAACAAGGACTGGCTAAACAATCTAACATAAATAATTCTGAAGGTGAACAGTAAAAATAAACATGTTAACATAAATCAATAAATGATGGGATGTTCTCTGTTATTTTAAAGGGAAACAGATAAGTTTGTTAAATAATCATTTAATTGCATTTTTATATATCTACCAAAAATGTAGTAATAGTTCAGTTTATTTATAACTCTGATCTCACATTTATTCATACATCATATAAAGGTAATAAAATGTTGCACCTTTAAAATATCCTAAGTTTCAATTGGTTTTATACTAGACAGAAATGTGATGAAATCAATGATATTATGACACTGCAAAAACACCTCATGTGCCAAAAGTTATGTAACTTTTTAGACAATCGTTGGCTTTGGAAAGAAATATCATTAGTGATGTAAACTGAAAAAAAAAACAGTGGTTTGTTTTTTTTTTTTTTAAACATTTGTTTTCCTTAATAGAGAAAATATTAAACTTGAAGCAGATAAATTGAACAACTTTTTAAATTATTCTGTATTTATAATAGAGGTAAGTATTTAAATATAAACAAAATAAAAACTTGCATTTAAAATATACATGAGTATCTATGAATATTTAAACACAAACACAACTAACATATTTGTTTTGTATTATATAAAAAAATAAATAGGCCTTTTCAATTTATCTCTTATGGAAGAATACCTACTTTAGAACATTTTCATAATATATTAGGGGCTGAAGATTGGACTAGTGTTTTGGATCAGACCTGTCCCAATTTAGTTTATGATCAATTTGCGGAAATTGTTTTATCCTATTTTGAAACTGCCTTTCCAAAAAAATTAGTTACACGAAAGCCTGAAACTAAAAATGAAAAGTCTAATAATAACTATAGGTGGAATGCAAATTATTTGGAATTAAAAAATAATGTGTCATTATATACTTATAAGCTTAGGTTAGAACAGGCCTCTAAGCAATACTATGATAATCTCATTTTAAGCTCTGAAAATAACACTAAAGCTACCTGGGAAGTGATTGGGCAATTGCAAAAAGGGAACAACAAATCAAATAACCAACTTATATTATATGATCAGGGTAACCAGATAAGTGATTGTGATTTGGCAAATAAATTTAATATTAATTTCACTAAACCCCCCCATAGATAGCTTAGTTTGTGACATAGAATTTTTAAATAAAAATATTACATCTAATAATAAAACATTTTATATGGCTCCTGTTTTAGATGAGGATGTTTTAAAATTAATTTATTCTTTAAAAACACTAATTCAGTTAGGACTGATGGCTTAAATAATAAATTAATTAAAAAGTGTGTTGCTCTATTGACTAAACCATTGAGTTTTTTGTTGAATTTATCAACTGAGAAAGGTATTTTTCCAGATTCTTTAAAACTAGCTAAAGTAGTTTCCATTTACAAAAAGGAAGATCTGAATGATATTAATAACTATAGACCAATAAGTATCTTGTCAACTTTTTCCAAAGTATATGAGTTGGATATCAAAAATCAATTATGTAATTTTTTCACTAAGTTTAAGCTGTTATCGCCATCACAACATGGTTATACTTCAGAAAAGAGTACAGTGACTGCATTGATAGAGTTCCATACTAAAATCGTAAGATTTCTTGATAGAAGCATGTAATGGGTTTATTTATTGATTTTTCTAGAGCTTTTGACTGTGTGGACCATAAACTTCTAATGCTTAAGCTGTCTAAATATGGGGTAAGAGGTATACCACTTGACTTATTGGAATCTTATTTATCAAATAGAAGATAAATTGTTCAAGTGAATAATGTTCCTAATTTGGAGCTGGAAGTTTCACAAGAAGTTCCTCAAGGATCGATTTTGGGTCCATTTTTAGTTTTTGCCAATGACCTAATCACTTCCTTGAATGCTATTCCTGGAATATACCCAACTTGTTATGCTGATGACACATATTTTAATTATAGAAAATAATGCAGATGCACTAAAAATAGCAACAGAGAGAACATATAATCAAGTTTTATTGTGGTTGGAAAAAATAACAAAATTAAATAAATCTAAAACTAATATAAAGTTATTTAATAATAATGGACAATTTATACAAAACCAATTATTTTAAAACATTAATAATAAAATTATATATAAGAAAATATTAGGAATCACTATTGATTATGGCATAACCTGGAATTCACATATTGATAACCTGTGTAATAAATTACGAAAAAGTTGCTATAGTCTTAGATTTCTTGCCAATCATTGCAGTAAAAGTACACTCTTGACAGTGAATCATGCATATTTTCACTCTCATTTGAAATATGGCATACTTAATTGGGGTACCTGTTCTACCAAGCAAAGAGTTTTTGTTCTTCAAAAATATGCCATAAGAATTATTGCGAAATTGAGAATAAGAGATTGATGTAGAGAGTTTTTTAAAAAATTTAAAATTCTGACACTGGCTGGGGTATATACAGTGAGCTCCATAAGTCTTACCCCCCCCCCCCTATCTAACTCGTTACTGGAGTCTTGTTAGGAAAATCGCTGAGACACGTCGATTTTTGATTTCTACAATGTACATTTTTGTATGAATAGTTTACCCTTAATTTCATCCCTTACGAAAAATTTAAATGACATGGGGTGGTGAGTGATAGGTCATTTGAAAGAGGGTTTTATTCTCTATTCAACCATGTGAAAAATTTTGAAATTTGCTTCATTAATTCTCGACTAATTGTTGTTTCAGAATAACGTAAATTAAGGTAGCGCACTCATCGTTAGAATTAAAATTCGGCCCTGCATGATTTCGGTTTTACGTGAAGTAAGACTTTTTGCCATTAGAAGGTCACTGTTAGTTTAGTTGCTTTCCTATTTTGTGAGGTTTTGTTATTTTTAAACATTAATAAAGCAACACGTAATGACGCAAATTTCAAAATTTTTTGCACGGTTGAATAGAGAATAAAACCCCCTTTCAAATGAGCTATCACTCACCACCCCATGCCATTTAAATTTTTCGAAAGGGTTGCTCCCTTCCAGTAAGGGATGAAATTAAGGGTAAACTAATCATACAAAAATGTACATTGTAGAAATCAAAAATCGACCTGTCTCGGCGATTTTCCTAACAAGACTCCAGTAACTAGTTAGTTTGGGGGGGTAAGACTTATGATGCTCACTGTATATTAGAAGCATATACTTTCAATCATAATAACAGATTAATATATGTTGCCGAGCGTGCTTCTCATGAGCATAACAAAAGCCAATTACTAATACCTAGAGACCGTACGGCACTTTTTGAAAAGAATCTAATCTAGAGTATATGGTTTGTAAATTTTATAATATCCTTCCAGAGGACATAAAGAACAACAGTAATCTCTTCATTTTTAAGTTTAATGTAATAAAACTTTTATTAGAGAAAAACTACTATTCCATAGAAAAATATTTTATATAATAATTCATGTTTAGGTATGTTTTTTTTTTCTAATTTTTTTTTAGGTTTATAATCTTATGTTTTTTTATAATTACCATGACATGTTTCACGATAAACGTTGTATAATTTTTTTGTACAATTTTCTTATAAGGTGAAATAAATTAATTAATAAATCTCCTATTGTTCTTGTGTCAGGAAGTATTTTGGTCCAACCTTGGAGTTCCTATGCTTCTATAGTGTCTTTAAGACGCTCTAGATGGCAACACTTGTTCTTGTAATAAATTATTTTATTTATTTTTTTTTTTTTTTTCATATAAAACAAAACAAATTTTTAATTATTTATTATGAAAGGTTTTTATAATCACTACCACTTATACTTTATTATGATGGCAGTTTACTCATATTAATGATACATTTTATATTGAATTATGAAAAATGAATTCATATTTTCAATAATAGAGCCATGCGTACAATCAGGATTTTGAATTATTTTATTTTATCTTTATCCACTTAATCTACTTGAAACAACAAAAAGTATTTATTATTGACTAGGGATAAATTTCCTCACTGTAGTAGAATTTTATATAAATAAAAAGTTTGTTGATTTTTTCCATCAAATAGTTTTAATTTTTTTTTTCAAGTATTTAATATTGTTTTATTTAAGAACAAAAATATTTTGAGGATTTTATAATATAAAATTGTATTTATATACCTGCCACTGAGAATACTTCGTGATGTTATTTATTTATTATTATTATTTATTAATGTATTTTTTTATTCAAACAAGCCTTTCGGTCTAATTACATGAATAAACATATTATATAATTACAAAAATACAAAGTATTTACATCTAAGGTAAGAGGTAAAGCTATCAAAAACTACAGAGGTATGTTTACTTCACTTCAATTAATTATATTTACGATAACCGCATAAGGTTAATCTATGATTTAGTAAGGTATTGCGAAAATTATTTTGTGGAACATTTATCTGTATATATTGTTATGGAAGTTTCAAGTGCAGGATGATAGAAATCTTCATTGACATTTGGAAAATAATTCCTCCTAACAGAACAATTTATTACATTATTTAAAGAACTAATAACTA